ATTAAAAAAAAACTGTCCTATTAATCAGCTGTGAAACTGTCTCACTCATATTTATTTCTCAATAAAAAATAAATAAAAATCTTTGTTTTGTTTTTCTTTTAATCATTAATTCCTCTGCAACTTCAACTGACTAATCAGGAACCTCTACGTTCTTCCTGATTTGCTATGTCTTAAAAGTTTTTCTTTGAAAATTGTACATTAAATACAGACTTACAAGAAAAAAGAGAAAGGTATGAAGTAGAAAGTGAAAGTACTGTTCCATTTCCCAAGACTGGTGTAACCACTGTTATACCATGTTTTGTGCATGATTCTTCCATACTTAATGTTAGGGAAGAAAAAAACAGATATGAGCCCAATAGGATGGGTTTTTCAGAACAAACCTGAAAGGGACCACTCTGGCACTAGAGACCAGACCAGCAGCACTCCCACAGGCTCTGGGGAGGTTTGTAGGGCCACAGGGAGAAAGGTACTTAGGGAGGGGGTGTTGTTGCTGTCAAGCACAAGGCTTGAGAGAGTACAAGCAGTAAGGGCTGCCCAAGGACAAGTTTGGGACAGCACAGGGGTAGTGGCTATTATCAGTAGCAAGGCTACTGATACCAAGGTGTAGGAAGGCTGCAGCTTATTCCCCAGGGGCAGCTATCCTGGGAGGAAGTGGTTAAAAGGGTTTCTGATCTGGTTGGTGGTAGTCAGATTCCTTCATTTACTAGATATGATCTTTCAAAATAAAATGAAATTATACTATGTATTATCGTTTCCAGTTCACTTGTTTCATTTAATAATATACAGTCTGCCCAAAAATGTAGACACACTTTAGGAAAAGAAAAATAGTATGATGTTTTTTCAATAGACAGTGTTACCCTTACATGGGGGACCCTAAGGATGTGGGGTGTCACAGAAAACCCAGTACTATACTGTTAGCCCTTAGAGAAGAAACTGAAAATGCATGTGCATAATCTTTTTTTTTTTTTTTTTTACAGGGTCTACAGGGTCTACAGGGTCTCACTACATAAATCGGGCTTGTAGTAATCCACCTGTGTTCAGTCTCCCAAAGAGCTGGGATTACAGGCCTGTGCCACCACACCCAGTCTCATTCGTCACCTCCTTGTGTCCTGGGGTGGGGGCCCGCACATGGGGGATGGAAACCCTTCCTCTGCACTCTGCCTAAGCAGGTCCTTTAGTCCACTGAACTATCTGGCCCGCCCTCATGTGCACGATCTCAATGGCCAAGTTTATCCAAGCAGCAGTTCACCATATTAATAAATGTCTGGAAGCTAATGGCCACCACTTTGAGAACCTCTTGTAATTGTAGAAGCCAAAGGTAACTTGCATTAATCTCATGATGTCTCAGTAAATTTAGTATTAAAATATTTATACAAGTTTGTCTTTTCCTGAAGTGTGTATCCTTTTTTCTGTAGACTGTGTATGATAGAAGTTGATTATGCATGTCCACAACACATTAGAACTTTGTGTGATATCCTATCCTCAAACTGTTAGAAGTGCTGGTCACTTACTTGCCCTTCTAGTATTTATCTTACGTTTTACTCTAGTACTTCTTTGCTATCATGAAAACCTTTTCTGAGTTCAATTGTTTGGAAACATTTAATTTTCTGAATATTCTTAATCTTAATTTTTGTTCTAAGATTTATACTATATCTTTGACTTACAATTTATTTAAAAGACATTGTATGCTTTCGGGACTTCTTAAATTCTGTCAGTGAGTCGCCACTGTCCGCTTCCCGCTCGGGCAGTTTTCGTAGCCAGGGCGGTGAGGCTGGAGGAGACAGGGAGAATGAGCGCTGCGCGGACGCTGCGGGTGCCGGGCCGCCAGGGCTACGCAGCTGAGTTCTCCCCGTACCTGCCTGGTCGCCTGGCCTGCGCCGCCGCGCAGCACTACGGCATCGCGGGCTGCGGAACCCTACTAATACTGGATCAAAATGAAACTGGTCTTACAATTTTTAGAAGCCTCGACTGGAATGATGGCCTGTTTGATGTGACCTGGAGTGAGAACAATGAACATGTCCTCATCACCTACAGTGGTGATGGCTCACTGCAGCTCTGGGACACCGCCAAACCCACAGGGCCACTGCAGGTCTATAAAGAACATGCTCAGGAGGTGTATAGTGTTGACTGGAGCCAAACCAGAGGTGAGCAGCTTGTGGTGTCTGGCTCCTGGGACCAGACGGTCAAAGTGTGGGATCCAAATGTTGGAAAGTCTCTGACAACCTTTAGAGGCCATGAGAGTGTCATTTATAGCACAATCTGGTCTTCCCATATCCCTGGTTGTTTTGCTTCAACCTCAGGTGACCAAACTCTGAGAATTTGGGATCTGAAGGCCGCAGGAGTCAGAATTGTGGTACCAGCACATCAGGCAGAAATTTTGAGTTGTGATTGGTATAAATACAACAAGAATTTGCTAGTGACGGGAGCAGTTGATTGTAGCTTGAGAGGATGGGACTTGAGAAACGTACAACAACCAGTGTTTGAACTTCTTGGTCACACCTATGCTATTAGGAGAGTGAAATTTTCACCATTTCATGCTTCAGTGCTGGTGTCCTGATCCTATGATTTTACTGTAAGATTCTGGAACTTTTCAAAGCCTGACCCTCTTCTTCTTTTTTTTTTTTTTTTAAGTGAATCCAGTCTTTTTTTAAAAAATATTTATTTATTACATTTATTTATTGTGTGTGTGTGTGTGGCCAGCTCAGCCCACCAGGGGGCGGGGCTGGCTGGCATGTGGTGCTGGAGGATCGAACCGAGGTCCCTGTGCTTTGCCAAGCTTGTTTCAAGTAGGTGCTTTAGACCACTGAGCCATCTCTCCAGCCCCTGACCCTCTTCTTCAAACAGTGGAGCATCATACAGAGTTCACTTGTGGCTTAGATTTTAGTCTTCAGAGTCCCAGTCAGGTGGCTGACTGTTCTTGGGATGAAACAGTAAAAATATATGACCCCGCTTGTCTTACTGTGATTCCTGCTTGAGACACATTGCCCTGGACAGAAGCAAGGATGTTGACCAAAGAATTGCTTACCAGCAAATAAATCAGCTACTGAAAACATAGATGTTATGCTGCCATGTGTGATTCAGATTTCCAATTCTTCAGATTTACCCCGAAATCATTTTTGAGGCAGCTAGTAATAAAGACTTTGGGTCATTCTGTGAGCCTGGTACATAAGCCATATACCTTAAAATCCCAAGACATAATTGATATTTTGGTGTATCTTGTACTACTGATTAAAATGTAATCTCTGTATTGTAAAATGGATTAAAATATGAGAGATCAATAGACTAAAAAAATTAAAAAAAATAAAAGACATTGTATGATATCTTCTCCTAGTATTAGAAACTTTAAAAAGTATATTTCCATTTTCTGTTGACTTTAAAAAAAGAGGTTTGTACCTATGTTATTTATTTATTATTTCTTGCCTATATTTTGTAATATAAAAAACTACTTTGGCAGTAACGATACACAATGTACTAACCATTGTTACTCTCCTAAAATCTTGTGGATTTTGTACCATTGTTTTTATTTTTTTCTTTAAAATAAAAATAACTGATGTCAAAAAGAAAAAAGAAAAAGAAATTGACCACTGAGGACATAGAGATCAAAATAATTTTTTTTTGATCTGCATCATTTTATATTGTGTATGTGCTATACTTAGTAGCTAGTCTCTTTCTGGTGCATGTGCAGGTAGGCACAGTCATTCCTCAGTGTTTGTATGGCACAGATGTAGACACTCAAATCCCTGCCATAAAATGGTACAACACAGCCAGTGAACCTGGGTAGGACTCGGGGCTGTGACTTTGCGCCCCTCCAGAGTTCTTCCTGGTGATAGAACATGGTCTGAAGCATGGCTTGAGAGCTAAGAAAACTTTTCTTGGACAAAATAAATCCTTTTGGAGGTCTCCCAAACTGGCAGAGAAACTTGTACAAGAAGCTGCAGAGATAACAGAAAGTGTTAAAGATCTTCCAGAACTAAAGATACCAGTAGGCAGTGGAAGAGTCTGGCTTCACTGACATTAATGCAAAAGGAACTTTAGAGTTCATGAAAGCTTTTATCAATAAAAAGAAACATCTCAGTGAGTTCTATGAGCTGAATGTCCTGCTGATAGAAGATGAAGGAGCTATATAATTGCTAGTCTGTTGGTGGAGCAAATGTCACTGATGTTAATTTCTGCATGAAAGGAAAAGATTTGGACTCTTGGGTTGAAGTTATAGTCTTTTCCATGTATCTCAAGGATGGAAACAGCAGTAAAAGTAACGAAGGGGACAGTTAGATTACTGTGATTCTGGACCAGAAGAACTATGTTAAAGAACTCAACAGACATCTGCACACTGCAGTAAATAACCTTCAGGCAAAAAGTTGATACATTAAGGTCAAGGGATTTAGCTCAATGGTGCAGCACTTGGCAAAAGTGAGGTCTTGAGTCCGATTGTGGGCACCCTCCCAAAAAGCAGGCGCATTAGAAAAATCAAACACTAAACTAACAGAGGAGCTTGCAGTTGCAAACAAATGGGATTATTACTTGCAAGAAGAGGAACGAGTTAAGAAAGCTCCTACATATTGGAATCCAATCAGAAGGGTCCTAAGCAAGACAGAACTGCTAAAGGGCAAGCACTAAGTGAAGCAGAACATTTAAAGAAGGAAGCACAATTATGATTTTTTTTTCCCCCTGGTGGAACCGGGGATTGAACTCAGGCCCTTGCACTTGCACAATTATGATTTTTTTTTCCCCCTGGTGGAACCGGGGATTGAACTCAGGCCCTTGAACTTGCCAGGCAAGCGCTTATTCTACTGAGCCATCTCCCCAAACCCCTACCATTATGATTGAATACTGAAGAGGAAAAAAAATCCTTCTCAACTTGGGGGCCTGCCGGTTTGCTCAGTTGTTTAAGTGCCTGCTTAAGCAAATGCAGTCAGGCTCAGAATACTGTGGTTTGATCCCCAGATCATCATGCCTTACCAGACCTGCCCTTAAGGCAACCTGAGCCAGCCAAAAACAAAACAAAACAAACAAACAAACAAAAAAATTGAAAAGGAGTTGGATTGACTGGTTTTAGAAAAAAAAAAAGGAGCGGGCACTCCAGATCACCAGGAGATGGAGCTGGTGGTATCTGTGAGAAGCAGTAAGACAGCAGCTGGTGACCTCAGGACTCTCAAGCATGAACTGTCCTTTTAAGCTGCAGAATTCAGACTTACTAATAAAATACAAAAGTGAACTAAGCAGTCATTTGGACGAGAAGACTAATCAGAAGGCTGCTACCATTAAACAATTGTAACAAAGCAATCAGCTTGAGTTAGAACTAAAAAGAGAAAGGTTACAGAATAGGACCCAACCAGAAAGGGATTCCCAGAAGCCAGAGCCCAAAATGGATGGGAGACACAAAATTCAAGAGGTAATTTTTTTAAAAAAAAATTTATGTACTTGGTACAGGGTCTCACTATGCAGCTCAGACTCATAGTGATCCTCCTGTTTTCAGCCTCCCCAGTGCTGGGATTACAGTCATGCACCACCGCACCGACTCAGTGGCCAGCTCAGCATGCCCAGGGGTAGGGCTGACACAGCATGTGGTACCATGAGGAAAATGTTAAACTTAAAAAAACAAACAAACAAACAAACAAACAAACAAAAAAAACTGCCTTGGAGAAAGCCACCAGGGCTGGGGAGATAGCTCAGAGTTGTAAGTGCCCGTTTGGAAGTAAGCCACCAGCTGCAGTCTGCAGTCTTACCCTATAGATGAACAGCTGCTGCTCCCTGGAAAGCAATAGATGTGTCAGCTGTGCCTGGACAGCAGCAGTCTGAATGTGTGTGAGAACTTCTGCATGGCCTGCTCAGCAGACACATCGCTCTGCCCTCAAGGGCCCATCCTGCACACCTGGCAAGCCCAGTCACAAGCAGCTCATGAAGCAGTGTTCCACAGCCCAGCCAGAGGGTAGTGGCAAGGACCTGGTGGACACCAGTGCAGGGCCATCCTTTCCTGGGTGTCAGGACCCCTAACACTTTTCTTCAGAGTCAACAGGAATGACTTCAGCAAAACAGGCCCAGAGAGAAAGGCAGCATTGAGGGTACTAGAAATTATGTTCATTTTTCCTAATAACTTGCTCAATAAGAGGCACTGGGTTGAGCTGAAGAGATAGTTCAGGGGCTTAAGCACCTACCTGGCAAGCACAGAGTCCTCAGTTTGATCCCTGGTACCACCAAAACAAAAAGTTAATTGGAACCAAGCAAAATGGCCAGTTTCAGGTGTTTAGTGTAAACAATGGTTCAGTTTTAGTTTCTTTTACTCTAATTAAACACTTTCAAGGCACCTTTACTCAACTTTGGTTTATTTACTTGTTACCTCCCCCAGCCACCTAGTACAGGGGATTGAACCCAGGGCCTCACCACTGAGCTACATCCCCAAACCTCTTTCCTTTCCTTTCTTCCCTTCCCTTCCCTTCCCTTCCCTTCCCTTCCCTTCCCTTCCCTTCCCTTCCCTTCCCT